CAAACTACATTCAATTCAGATATTTTACATTTTAACATGAAGACTAAGAGCAGATTATCTAGAAATAGTCAAACATAAGATTCGAAAAGATTAACACAATACAAATATAATACGAACACTTGTCACACATTTGGCAATATTAGTATCCTCCACATATGAGGTGCTCATAAAAATTGAAAAGTAGAACATATGACCCTGGAAATAAATGAGTAAATCTAGACATTTGAAATGTGGAAATAGAAATGACTAACTTAATAAAGCTGGACCTCAGTGAATTAATAGTGAATACATAGTATGTATTTGAGTATTTATACTTGGCAAGTACAGGACTGCTATTGAGACAAATGCCCTGTTAGGTTTGTTACCAGCATCAATTCTTACTTCTATTCTGATTGATTGATGTCTATGCTTTGGTGGTTGCTAAATGTATTGAATATTACTACTGAGTGTGTCCTCTTACCCTGTAATAGGCTAAATAATGACTACCCAGTGGTGTCTGGTCCTAATCCCTGGAACCTGTAAATGTTACAAAGAAAGTGGGTCTTTATAGATGTGATTAAACAAACACCCTGGAGATGGGGAGATCATCTTCAGGGACCCTAAATGCAATCAACAAGACTTCTTGTAAGAAAGCAACAGCAGGAAATTTGATATGGACAGTATAGGATACAAGGGACAGATTCTCCCTTGAGCCTCCAATGGAGTGTGATCCTATTGACATCCTGATTTCAGTCCAATGAAACCATTCGGGAATTCTGGTCTTTGGGGCTGTGAGAAAATGAATTTCTGGGTTTTGCCACCCATTTTGTTATAGCAGCCACAGTAAACTTAAACAAAATGGTTAACTCAGTAAATCTTCACAATATTAGGATGTAAATTAGGGAGATTAAATTATAATCTCCACTTAACAGATATGGAAATTGAGGTGTTTTACCCACTGCAGAGCTAGAATTCAAATTTAGGTCTTTCTAATCCAAAACCATACTGCATTTGAAATGAAAAATGAGATATTACAATTTGTTTCTAGAGGAACTGGGACTTGACTAACCATCACACTGCAAACAATAAAAGTTGGATGAAGTATATGAAATAAGTGTTTAAGTAATTGACATTAGGTGGTACAGGATTGTGATACCCACCGATACTTCGGCCTATAGACACGTTCCAGCTCGAGGTACAGGAAAGGAATCTCAAGCAGTAATCTGAAGTTGGAGGAAATTGAAAGTTTGGAGAGACAGAAGTTGCTAGAATTTTACAGGGTAGAGTACCAGATGGGAAGGAGCTAAATTAGAGCTGCAAGCGGGCATGTTCCCTTGGTTGAACACAAAGCCACACATGCATAGCTTGGGCCGTAAGTTTGGGCAAAGCTGAGTCCATCTTTGCAAAGAAGTACAAATTAAACAAATGCCAGAATTGGCACAGAGCTGAAAGATACTTGAGTTCCAATCAGATCCAGAAAAGCACTGGGTTTGATACACTAGAGAACAAAGAAGGAAAAGGGGAAGAAAACAATGGTTATGTTATTACAAAAAAGGGGAAAAAAGGATGAATAGAGGAAGGCTATGTGATAAAACAAGCAGGTAAAATGTCCACATATTTTATACCTTACAAGGACAATGGAAAAGCTCCTCAAGAGACACTGCAAGTTTTAAAATATGTCCACACTTTCTTTGACTAACTCCTCAAAGGTGGGATCTAACTCCGCTCCCTTTGAGTATAGACTTGACTTAGTGTTCTAATAGCATATGGCAGAAATGATGGTGTGGGACTTCTAAGACTAGTTTACAAAAGGCACTGTGGTTTCTACTTTGTCCTCTCTCTTGGAAGGCTCATTTGGCAGGAAACCATGTCTCATGACACTCAAGCAGGTCTATGGAGAGGCTGATGTGGAAATTGAGGCCTCCTGCCAACAACCAGCAAGTTGAGACTTCTTGATAACAGAAACTGAGGTCTCCTGCCAAAAGCAATGTGAGAACCACCTTGTGAGCAGATCCTCCATTGGCAAACGTTCTTGACCACAGACATCATCTTGAGCTATTTGAGATCCTGAGTTAGAATCACCCAGGTAAACCCTTCTGAATTCCTGACCCACAGATACTTGTTAGATAATGCTTCAAAATGTTAAATTTGAGGAAATGTATTATGTAGCAATAGATAAGAATGGCAAATTACCAAAGCTTACTCAAGAATACAACCAGAATAGTCCTGTGATTAAATTGAATTAGTTAAAAACCTTCCAACAAAGAAAACTCCAGGCTTAGATGGCTTCACTGGTGAATCCTATTAAGAAAAACTACTATTCATTTGTTGTTCTTTTCAGTGTCCTTTTCCCTCTAGCTGCCCTACACTTTTTCCAATATTGGTTATCAGCAATTTTACAATGATGTGATTTCATGTGTGTTTTTACTTACCCTGCTGGGGTGCATAAGGGCTCTTGAATCTGGTTTTGTGAGGTTCTCAGTCATTACATCTTAAATACTGCTTGTTTCATTTTTTTCTTCTGTCCTTCTGATATGCCAATTTACTGTATTAGATCACCACAGCTTGTATGTCTCTTAATTTTTCTCCTGTATTTTCATTACCAATTTTCTCTTCAGCTATACCTGTTTTTAAATTCATCCATCAAAATTCTAATTTCAGTAATGGTTACTTTCAGTTCTAGTATTTCCATATTTTAAAAATTAATTTTCTTTACCAAAATTCTCTTAAGCTTAGTTTGTATCCGAAAACTTCAGTATTTGAAGGTCCTGCAGATATGCTTAAGTAGAAGCTTCTGTTGGTGTTAATTCATGTCTTTTGGTGTTGCTAATTTTGTGTCCTACAACATATTTGCAAAACTTTTTATTTTGAGGTCTGTTATTTTCTACTGTAGTGTAATAGTATTACCACAAACTTATCTTCAATACATATTTATTATCTCATAGGTTTTGTGGTTCAGGAATTCAAGCACAGTTCATGAAGTTTGGGCTTCTGTCTCAGGTCCCAAGGATTGCAATTAAGGTGTCAACCTCAGTGTGATCTGGGCTGAGGTTTCATTAAAAAAGGATCCACTTCTAAGCTCATGTGGATGCAGCATTCTTCTTTGCAGACTGTAAGACCAAGGGTCTACTTCTTGCTGATTGTTGGCTAGTAGCTACCTTCAGATGTTCACTTGTGGCCCACAACACCTACAATGTTATTTTCCTCTCAAGAGAACTTAAATTTGCTTCTGTCAAACACCTGGGAGCTCTAAAAACCTTAGATAATCTCAATCCAATTTCTGGGATTGAGAATATTGAAAGCTTTTTCATTTCTGTATCTTTTTTACTCCTAATGTGCAGCCTTTTGGATTCCTTACTCAAAAGTTAAGGGAAAGAGTTTACCACTATAAGAAGCATATCCACAGCTCCCTGGTCCCATGGGATACTCCATTTAGCATATCAGATCATTTACAGAACTGGCCAATATTTCCAGAGTAGCAGCACACCTACCTAAATCTCTGTGCTTCCTTAGCTCTTCATTACTGTCAGCTTTCTCATTTTTTTTTTTTTTTAAGATTCACTTATTTATGCATACAAGAGCTAGGGTACAGGCCAGAGATGTGGGGGAAAGGGGTGTGTAAGAGGATTCACCAGAGACAGAATGGGGAACAGAACAGGCAGATCAACCTAAATACACTGCTGAGGGAAGCAGCAGGCGAGGTGGGAAAGGTCCGCTTCACCATGTGGGTTGCTCCCTGGCCAACCGGGGATCGAATTTGTGCTACAGAGGCTGTGGATTGCTTCATAGCAGGGTGCCCAGCCCCTTGCGCCACCAGGGAGGCCCTCTCTCATATTTTTAAGCAGATATTAAGTTTTGTTTAGATATCAGATTTCCTAAATGTATTATGTAGAAGATCTGGTCCAAATTATTTGGTCTACCATTAACTATAAACTCTTTTATTCTTTTTCTTCCATAATTTACAATTTGTAACTGGCTTTCACATGTACAGAAATAATCTATAAGAATAAACATGTTTAAAATTTAACTTTTAAAGAAAAACAAAGACTTGCAAGTCAGAAAAAAGTCAGAAAATACTAGCTTTCCCTATTATGTTGAATATTTCTATTTCTTGAGTTTTCTGTAATTTGAAAAAAACATGGATACTTTTATATAATGGATATTTATGTCTAAAACATAAATCTAGAAATTAACATGGAATTATAAAACTTTCTAGATCATATGAAACTCTTAAAAGCTGAATATTCCTACAAATTACTTATTTGTCACTCAAGACTACATTGTCAAGAGAAATAATGCAATGATTAAACCAACATACGGCAGTGATGTAATGCTAATATAAATTTATAATATTTGAACAAGATACATTTGTATTTTTTAAGAGTTGAAAGTGATGGAAAAAATTGGGAACTAGATACTGCATCCTTATGTTTAAAATACACTGATTTGTAAGTAGGACATTATATGTATTTCGGAGCCTTTCATTGTGTGAATAAAGCATCGGGCTAATTTTTAAGATCTATAAATACTGGACAAGTTTTTGAAATATCTAGGAAAGCAAAATATAACTACTTTCTCTCTGGGAATATATTTTTAAATATAATCTACCAATTAACAACCTTTGGTAGAAACCACTACTTGCACTTACCTCAATTCTGTGATAGCTTTTCTCCAATGTTTCCCAGGCATATGAGCGTCTGTAATAAAAGCTGTATTTTTTTTTTAATCTTTCCCTGCAGTTAGGTGTGGGCTAGGTTTTAGCCAATGAAATTTAAATAATGATGCAACCTCCCCCTTCCCTGACTAGTTTTTCGCTGTCCAGAATGTTGACATGAGGACCAGAGCTTGAACAACAATCTTGGATCATGTGTTAGAAGCCAACTGTTGAAGTTAATAGAGCAACACAGCAGCCTTGAAATACTTACCTCTGGATTTCTTTCAAGTAAGAGGAAAAAAATCATTTTTTTTTTTTAAGTCACTTTTATCTGGGGTTTTACTTAATTGATACACATGTCAATTGTTGACATATTATTCCTTTATTAGAAATTGCAAATGAGAAATTATTTCAATACCTGAAGACCAAATTACAACAGAAGATTCCATAGGCTCAAGATTTTGAGACATTCTGGTAAGAGTTTTCTGTAATGTGTATCCTTTCCGTGGCATGGCAACATCATTCTTCTTTAAGAAGGTCACCGGGCAGACATCATTTCCACCATCACCTATATATACAATTTTCGTATAATTCACTCCCTGTTGTAACTGTTTATGTACAAAATCTATCAAAACTACATTTTTGCAAAGATTCCTCGGGCACCTATTGCAAGAATGAGTATGATAACTTTCCACAGTGAGATGACCACTGCTATCAAAAGCTGCTGGATTTGTAAATACTTCATCAAATACATCATGAAAATTGGTAGCTTCTAAAACCCAGTCTATGAAGACTGAATTTGAATCTGAAATAATAATGCAGTCAAATTTATCCTTATTCTTTCTTATAAAGCTTAGAAGTTCCACCATCCCTGGAGTGAAAGGCATTGATGTCACTGCTCTTTTCATTTCATCTTCTCTTACACCTTCATCTCCCAAATATTTAAAGACTCTGCCCATAAATTCTGTCCAAAATCCTTTTTTATAAGACTCTTGTAGTTCAATAGGAAGTTTTTTCTCCGGAGCACACTGTACAATCCAGGTATCACTATTGTCATCTATGATTGTATTGTCAAAGTCAAAAACCAGCAAAATTTTCATGGTTCCAGAAACAGATTTGGGTTACCCTGAAAAGGAAGAAATATTATTCTCTGAAGATACTCTATTTTACATATCTAGCTAATATTTGTAATTGACAAATACTTTTGAGCATTAATCTAAAACAAAGGATTAATATATGGCATTAATCTAAAACAAGTTAAAATGATTAAGCATTTCAAGACTACCATTTAGCCACCATTTTAAAAAAATTTTTTTAAAGATTTATTTATTTATACAAGCACTGGGGTACAGGCCAGAGGCGCGGGAGGGTGACAGAATTCACCAGAGACAGAGCAGGGAGCAGAACACGCAGAAGGACTGAAATACACTGCTGAGGGGATCAGCGAGTGAGACAGGAGAGGTCTGCCGTGCCATGTGAAAATCTGCCTGGCTGGCCGGGAATCGAAACGGTGCTGCAGAGGCTGCGGACAGCTTCACAGCCCTGCGCTCAACCCGCTGCACCACTGGAGAGGCCCTAGCCACCATTTTTTAAGAATCAAAGTTCATATGTGAGTTATGACTTTGACTTCTGCTTTATGGTTCTGAGGTTTTAGCAAGAAATCCTAAAAAAGAATAGTGAAGAACTCCACCAATAGGAAAAAGAAAAGATCAATAAAAATGGAAAACATGGTATTGAACTACATGTATCGTCTAGTCTTTGACAATATCCAGTAGTTGAAGGCTGTTTTCCACTTAATGGAAAATAGAGTATTCATACAGGGTACTCATGGTATCAACTGTGTTCCTGTGGGAATGATTCTTTGAGCACTCAGAATTAAACTATGAGCTACCCAGTGAGAGAAGAATTGTTCTTTTATAGTCCAATTAAGAAAAGTTGTTCTCTAGTGATCAGATGCTGTTATTTTATAAAAAAAAAAAAAAAAAAAAAAAAGTTGTAAGTCAGAAAGAAATGTAGGATAATCATCCTGATTAACTTATCAGTAATAGTGAAAATTATTTAGAATAATAATCCTCATAATAAATGGGTTATGTATAATAATCAAAAATTTGACCAAACTTAGTATCAAATCTTATAATATTTATATTAAGAGATGTTTAACTCGAAATCAGTTTCTAATGCCAATGTCAATGTTACAACTAAATGATTGCTTAGTGATCTACTAGAATTTTTTAAAAAATTACTTAAATTGGAAGTTAATTTAATTCTTTGAGACTAGCAGTAACTTTTATTAACAAGTTTCATGTTTATTTTTATTTTCTCTAGATAGTTTAGTTCTAGAGTGCCAAATATCTGGACATACTTTAGTAATCACATTTCTTATGCTATGACAGTTAAGTTTCTTTTCATTAAAAGACAATGAAAGGGGCCTCCCCGGTGGCGCAGCAGTTGAACGCTGGGTTGCGAAGCTGCCCGCAGCCTCTGCAGCGCTGGTTCGATCCCCGGATTGCTCCCCGGCCACCAGAGGAGGGTCCCAGATGGTGCGCAGACCTCTCCTGCAGCCCGTTGCTCCCCTCAGCAGTGTACTTCAGTCCTTCTGCCTGCTCTGCTCCCGGCTCTGGCTCTGGTGAATTCTCTCACCCTCCCGCACTTCTGACTGTACCCAGTGCTTATATGTATAAATAAATAAATAAATCTTTAAAAAAAAAATTGAATTAAAAAAAAAAGACAATGAAAGGCATTAATGATAAAGAGAAAAGGAAAGAATGAACTAGTCAACAGTAGTATGGTTGAAAATTATTATGTAAAAAAGAGAAGTAATTTTACCAAATAATTAGAAAAGGCTACAACTGCTGTGTAGAAACAAAAAATTTTTTAACAGTAATATTTTTAGACAGATCACTATATACAAGGCACTAGACTAAAAAGTTACATCATCATCTAATTTAATTGTCAAAATCCTATTAAGTTGGCATTGTTATCCTCATTTTAAACATATGTTAACTGAAGCTTAAGTATTTGATAAGCTGGTTAAGTATTAGTTAAGTGTTACAACCGGAATTTTCAACTCAGGTTGGTTTGACTTGAAAGTTAATAAAAATGGAAAACATGGTATTGGACTACATTCTGGTTTCTTGATTTTCTAAATGTGTAATCCAAGATTTAAATGCAGAATTCACATTCCCATAGAAAAAATGTAATAAACAGTAACAAAACATAGTTGACAATATCATCGGTATATTGCACCTAAGTACATTTTAAATTAAACATACCGTTTAAGCATTCTAAATTTACACATTATTTTCAAAAATTTTAAATATATCTCACTCTTGGTTAAAAACTGCCTCAAGCTTTGGTTTAATGAGTCATAAATTATTGAAATTCCTGGACTATTAACCTCAAAATAAGATGTAGTAAAAGCCTCAGTTAAAACAGCTGCAGTACTATTAATTTCTACCTAAAAGTACATTTTTCTTAATTTCAGATCTTTTTCTATTAGTTTATTCTTACCACGCAACATAAACCTTTATTAACATACTTACCCAACTTAATATTTACAAGAAAATCTTACTGCAGCATAGAGCTTAAGTTAAAGTTACTATAATCTTCAGTTTTAAGTATCAGCCAGTTTCTGACCAACATTACTCCTATTCTATATGCAGAGAACAAAGTCTTCTGGTTTGGAGGAAAGGATTGGAGACATCTTAATTCCTGAAATTAATAAAAGCATTTAATCTTAAAATTATGTTCTGAAATTGTGCTGTTTTATTTTACATCAGAAAATCATCAATTATACAGAGAACAGATGGGAAATTGCCAGAGGGGACATGGATTGGGGGGGTAAACAGGTAAAGGGGGTCAATTATATGATGATAGATGACAACAATGCATTTGATGGGGATCATGATGTAGTATATATACAGTGTCTTATAATGTTATAAACCAATCTTACCTCAATAAAAATGTATGAAAGACAAAATTAAGAATAAAAAATAATTAAGATTTGGAGATGTGAGATATAGCTACACAATAGAATACTATGCAGTTATACAAAAAAGGCTGAAGTTTTGCCATTTGAAACAACATGGATGGGGCCTCCCCGGTGGCGCAGCGGTTGAGTGCTGGGTTGCGAAGCTGCCCGCGGCCTCTGCGGCGCCGGTTCGATCCCCGGCTGCTCCCCGGCCACCGGCGGAGGATCCCACATGGCGCGCAGACCTCTCCTGCCGCCCGCTGCTCCCCTCAGCAGTGTACTTCGGTCCTTCTGCCTGCTCTGCTCCCCACTCTGGCTCTGGTGAATTCTCTCACCCTCCCGCGCTTCTGACTGTACCCAGTGCATGTATAAACAAAACAAACAAACAAACAAAATAAATAAAAACATGCCTCTATAAAAAAAAATAAAAAATAAAAAAAAAAGAAACAACATGGATGGAACTGGAGGGAATACTGTCTGTCATGTAAAAATAAGTCAGAAGGAGAAAGACAAATAGTGGGTGGTGTTATTCAGATGTGGAATGCAGAGAAACAAAACAATGAGTGAGACAAATCAAAACCAAAAACAATCCCTAGAATTCTGACAACAGAATTGAGGCTATAAAATGGGGAGGGTGGAGAGCAAAGAGAGGAGGTGGCCCAATGGACTGTCATGGAGGACTTATGGGTACCTTGGTGGTAGATATGCTGTGGTAACTTATATCTGAAGAGGTGTGAAACTGTACCTCTGAATCATGAACAGTGTTGTAAACTAATGTTTATAATTGTAAAAAAAAAAAAAAAAGAAAAAGGAAGTTACTGTACAAAAAAGAAAAGAAAAGCAACTCTTGGCAATGAAAGAAAGAAAATGTTAATTAAACAAAAACCTTAAAAATGAAAAACAGGGAATAGTAAGTTAATAAAATCACCAGTGTTTGGCTAATTATGTGTAGATTTCAAGAATCCATTTTCCCTTGTTAAACAATAAGCAAGTACTACATTTTGTTAATAAACATTAAAAGATTAAGTGCTCTACTTAAAGCCTTAAAAGGATGTGCACAAATTTTTTAAAAATGTGAATCTACTTCAAAATCAATTTATTAAAACTCAAAAATATTATTAACTATTCTCTCCATAAGAATTAGTAGTGGGCCTCCCCAGTGGTGCAGTGGTTGAGCGCTGGGTTACGAAGCTGCCCGCAGCCTCTGCGGCACTGGTTCAATTCCCGGCTGCTCCTCAGCCACTGGAGGAGGGTCCCACATGGCACGCAGACCTCTCCTGCCGCCCGCTGCTCCCCTCAGCAGTGTACTTCAGTCTGCCTGTTCTGTTCCCTGCTCTGGCTCTGGTGAATCCTCTCACCCTCCCGCACTTCTGACTGTACCCAGTGCTTGTATAAATAAATAAATAAATAAATCTTTAAAAAAAAAAAAAAAGAATTAGTAGTAATGAAAATTGGAAACTACATATATAAAACCAAGAATAGGGCCTCCCCGGTGGTGCAGCGGTTGAGCGCTGGGTTGCGAAGCTGCCTGCAGCCTCTGCAGCCGGTTCGATCCCTGGCTGCTCCCCGGCCACAGGAGGAGGGTCCCACATGGTGAGCAGACCTCTCCTGCCGCCCGCTGCTCCCCTCAGCAGTGTCCTTCGGTCCTTCTGCCTGCTCTGCTCCCCGCTCTGGCTCTGGTGAATTCTCTCACCCTCCCGCGCTTCTGACTGTACCCAGTGCATGTATAAACCAAACAAACAAACAAATAATAAATAAATAAATAAGACATGCCTCTAGAAAATTAAAAAAAAATAAATAAATAAAACCAAGAATAAGGGACTGGTTAAATAAGATGTGATAGCCATATAATGGAATATTTATTTAGCCTTTAAAATATGTTCATGGGCCTCCCCTGTGGCGCAGCGGTTGAGCGCTGGGTTGCGATGCTGCCGGCAGCCTCTGCAGCACAGGTTCGATCCCCAGCTGCTCCCCGGCCACCAGAGGAGGGTCCCACATGGTGCGCAGACCTCTCCTGCTGCCCGCTGCTCCCCTCAGCAGTGTACTTCGGTCCTTCTGCCTGCTCTGCTCCCCGCTCTGGCTTTGGTGAATTCTCTCACCCTCCCGCGCTTCTAACTGTACCCAGTGCTTGTATAAATAAATAAATAAACAAATAAATCTTTAAAAAAAAAATAAATAAATAAATAAAATAAAATATGTTCAATAATAATTAAACAAGTAAGTCACACCAGTCAAAAAATGGGCAGAAGAGCTAAAAAGATACTATTCCAAAGAGGAAATGCAAATGGCCAAAAGGTCTATGAAAAAATGCTCAACATCACTTATAATTAGGGAAATGCAAATCAAAACCAAAATGAGATACCATCTCACTCAAGTGAGAATGGCCCATATTAAAAAACTGGTTATTACAAATGCTGGAAAGTATGTGGAGAAAAAGGAACCCTCTTACACTGCTGGTGCGAATGTAAACTGGTCTAGCCACTATGCAAAGCCATGTGGAGGACCTTTATGGAGCTACTGTAATAAACAGCAATTCCTAGGAATCTATGCAAAGGATATGAAACCATTAATCTGAAAGGAAACCTACACTCCTAGTTTACTACAGTACTATTTACAATATCTAAGATATGGAAACAACCTAAATGCCCAAAAACAGATGACTAGATCAAGAAGATATGGTGTATATACATATACACACACACACACACAGTGGAATATTATTCAAGAATCAAAAAAGATAAACTCACAACATGGATGGCACTGGAAGGGATTACGCTCAGTGAAATGTCAGAAGGAAAAAGAAAAATATTGGGGCCTCCCTGGTGGCACAGGGGTTAAGTCTCAGTGCTATCAAGCTATCATCAACTACTGCAGCATGAGTTCGAAGCAGGGAGCTAACCCAGATGGTGCAGCAGACCTCTCCTGTTTCACCCGCTGCTTCCCTCAGCAGTGTATTTCAGTAGATCCACCTGTTATGCTCCAGACTCTGCCTCTGGTGAATCCTCTCACACACACTCCCTCCTGCACCTCTGGCCTATCCCCCAGTTCTTGTATGCATAAATAAATAAATCTTTTTTTTTAAAAAAAAGTATCGGATAGTTTCAGTTATAGGAGAAATATAGGGAAACCAAACAAGGGATGAGGGGGAAAAAAAAAAAAACCCAACCAAACAAGGAATCAGAACAAAACTAGCAGCAAACTATAAATCAGAGACATTCAGCAAGGGACAGGGAGAGGGAGGGATCAAAACAGAGGCAGAAAGAGCACAAGAGACTATGTGTGACTTAGTGGGGTCTACACCTGATAGGAGAAATCAGAAGTACAAAATGAACAATGATGTAAAAATATATATATATAAATACATATCAAAAAATTAAAACAAGTAAAAAAATAGTGAGTACAATATAATCCCATTGTGGTTAAAAAAAATCCCTGTGTACTGTGCTAGGATAGTGGGTGGTTCAACTGTAGTACATTCTTTATCTACATTCTCTTTATATAATAATAAACTTCACCTCAATAATTTAAACTGTTTCAAATCAAAGTGCTACCTTCTTAAATTCACAGCACAGTTAAACAACAGAAAAGAGTGGATTTTATAGAGATAACCAACCAGATCTACATGACTTGTGAAAATCGATGGGTTAGAGTTAGAATTAGATATTGGAAGTCCAATGTAATCTGACCACCCCGTCAAACTGACAAATTCTGGAGGCAAAAACTCGACTTCCAAAAAACACATATGTTGCATATGTGTTTTTTGTCAAAAACTAATTTGTGTCAACAAATATTGATCCTTTCACACTTACCAGCATTATTAAAGAAGACCATCTCATAGAAAACCTAAAGAAAAAACAGTACAATTATGTATTAGAAGTTCAGTAATTTAAAATCTTGGCTCTTTTCATTCTGAGCGCAATTTGGTGGCTAATGTGTATGTGTCACAGCTAAGTAGCTTGTAATAAAACCATTTGTATAAGGATGTATTAGAAAAGGCTATTTTAAAATCAAGCCCTCATTCACTTTTTTTTTTAAGACTTTTTAAAAAAAGATTTATTTAATTATGCATACAAGAACTGGGGTACAGGCCAGAGGTGTGAGGGCTGAGAGGATTCACCAGAGACAGAGGGGAGGAGCAGAACAGGCAGACTGACTGAAATACACTGCTGAGGGGCGCAGTGGGCGAGACACGAGAGGTCTGCTGCGCCATGTGGGTAGCTCCCTGGCCGGGGATCAAACTCCGGGTAGCTTCATAGGTTGCGTCTTAACCCTCTGCGCCACCAGGGAGGCCGCTCAGTCACTCTTAACAGACAACCGTGACTTTAAAAGTCTCATTGGTCCCCCAAACACACTCAATTTACTGTTTACCAAGAAAATTTAAATACATAAAAGGGCCTAGCGTGAATATTCGAGGACCACATCCAAACGGTAACAGTTTCATTTTTAAAAACCCAAGCACCATCTAGCCCTGATCGTGCCTTAGAACCCACAGAACTTCACAACATTTTCTGTCACTCCCTGAGTTTCCACAGTTCAAGAAGGTATCGCTCCACGCCTGCCACCCGCGGGGGGCCGCTGGGGGCCACACTTGACACGCCAGGGCCACACATACCACGCCGAGGCCGCCCACACGGCAGCCGGAGCGGCCCCAAAGGGAGGCGCCGGAACCAAGTTTCGAGTCGTCCCGCTTGAGACGCGCGTTGGGTGAGGACAGGAGCACCAGCCCGGGCCGGGCCGGAGGCTGCTCACTGACCTAGGCTGGGTTTCGGCAGCCGTTAGCGCGGCGGCCGTCGTGCAGGCGTGCGCGCCTCAGGCCTCCGGCGTCGTCCCCGCGCCCCCCCCCCCCGGCAGGGCCGCCTCACGCCCACGCTGGGCCTCGGGTTCCGCGCAGGCGCAGTCGGTCTCCCGGGCCTTGGCCCGCTGCTGCGCGTTCCTCGTCCCTCAGCGACTGCCTGCGTCACTTCCGCAGGCGTTACCAAGCAACCGCGCGTTTTGGCATAAACACTCCACTGGTAGGAGGCGGTCTCTCTTGGAGTTGGAATTGCTTTTCCGAGCCTGAGACTGCCATGGGCATCTCATCAGAGATGATGGTGCGTTTCGGTCGGCGCCGAGGACAGGCGAAGGAAAGCACGGGTGAGCTAAACTGACCCATCCTGGCTTAAACAAGAACAATAGGTTTCTGTCTTCCATGCATTGTGTTAAGAGGAGAGGATTTCAAGTAAGGGCTTTGGTTGCCTTGAAATGCTTGGAAATGGGCTCCAAGTGGACACTAACCCTCTGGGTTTCCTTGGGCTCTGTGTAGTTTTGCTCTCAGGTGAATCGGTGAGATGACTTTAAATAAAATTCTCAATGATGGTTAAACAAAAGCTTTATAGAATAAAGTGAGAATTTGAATCTTGGAAACAGTCTGACAAATTTTACCGTGTGAAAACTGCTTTGACAATTAATCACACATTTGAGTTTACATACCTTATTATAGAGTAGCATACCTATAGCAAAGGAACAGGAGTCACTGTTCTTAAAAAATGGATTCTTGGGGCCTCCCCAGTGGCGCAGCGGTTGAGCGCTGGGTTGCGAAGCTGCCCGCAGCCTCTGCTGCCCTGGTTCGATCCCCGGCTGCTCCCCGGCCACCGGAGGAGGGTCCCACATGGCGCGCAGACCCCTCCTGCCGCCCGCTGCTCCCCTCAGCAGTGTACTTAGTCCTTCTGCCTGTTCTGCTCCCTGCTCTGGCTCTGGTGAATTCTCTCACCCTCCCGCGCTTCTGACTGTACCCAGTGCATGTATAAACAAAAAAACAAATAAATAAATAAAGCATGCCTCTATTAAAAAAAAAAAAATGGATTCTTGATAGGGGGTTTCTGGTTTTCATCTGAAGGCTTAGATCTTACAATTTCCTAAGTTATCTCAACCTAAAGAAATATCTGTTTCTGTTTTCTGTGTGCAGAAGAGGGCAAATATTGGGGTTTAATAATTTTCCTGACTTCTAAAGAATGCATTGTGGAGACACATAGGCTAGGTACCCATTGTTAAAATCTTCAGGTAACTCCTTCGAGTCTTCAGTGGAGGCTGAAAGTTTGATTTGCCTGCTGGCAACAGATTCTTGCTGGCTGCTTCACAGAAAGGGACAGAGCTAGTTCTAACATTAAGCTTATGCAGATGGCTTTGCTTTCTTGCCTAGTAGATCAGGGAGGTGAGGGTCCCACAATGTTCACAATAAGTTCACAGGTGGAAGGGGGAAAAGGGAAGTGGGGATGGGTTGAGAAAGTTTACAGCAGCAGGGGTGAAGAAGTGAGAAACTCAAATTGACTCCCAGCAGGTCAGATCCTCAAACTATGCTGTTGAGGCTCCAAAAATCTGGTTTTTGCAGGATTTTTGAGTGCTTGAATTTTGTTATTTTGTTATTGGTATTTGGAAATATCAGTGAACTCAGCTTGTGAGCCTGAGTGGTTTTAGGAAAGTCTCTGAATGAGAGTCTCAATCTCCTCATTTCTAAAAATGAAGGTAAGGTCTCTATGTATGGTAAAAGCTGTATCAGAATATAAAAAATAATGCTACTTAAGGTTGTGTAATTTAGATAACCTGTTATTTAAATTTTGATTTTGGAATAGAAATAGCCTAGTGGGACATCTAAAGAGCGCTTTATTAATTCCAATTATTTTAGTTTAAATTTTGTAAATACCCATCTAGGGTTGTCATGGTGAGAACTAGTATCTTAGGAATTTGGACTATCTTTACGTGTATGGGCAGAAAACTGAGACTGTATTTGTAACTAATTGTATAACAAGTTAGTTTAGTTTCTGTTCCGTGTAAAGTATCCCAACAAATGATTATAATATAGGTTCTTTTTTCACCCATGCAGTTGATTGCTAAATATAATAGTCTGATTATGATGCAGAATGAATGTGCCTTTAAAAAAAAAATGGCCCACATATAGGGAAAAAGTTTCCATAGAAACTCTCCCTATAAAAACTCAGAATTTAGGCTTATGAAATAATTTACTTTTATAAATTTATATCTATTGTAAATATGTTTGAAGAGTGAGAAAAAAAATGCCAAAGGAACTACCAGAAACTACTAAGTATGCTGACTCACCAAAAAGAGCATATCAGTAAAGTGACAGAAATTTAAAAAAAAGGATCCAAATAGAAATTTTGGAGTTGAAAAGGACAATAATTGAAATAAAAAATTCACTAGAGGGATTCAATACCATACAGCAGAAGAAAGAGTAAACTTGAAGATAAATTGAGAATATGCAATCTGAGGAACAGAAGAAAAAAAGAATGACGAAAAATGAACAGATCTTCAGAGAAATATAGGCCACCGGCAAGTATACCAACATAATATAATTTGAGTCCTAGAAAGAGGAAAGGGATAAGAAAATATTTTAAGAAATAATGACCAAAAGCTTCCCAAAGTTGAGTGAAAACATTAATCTATCCACTAAGAAAGCTCAATTGTCTTCTAAAAGGATAAACTCAAAGAATTCCAGAAACAAATGCATCATGATCAAATTGCCAAAAGCCCAAGAGAGAAAATTTTGCAAGACACCTGTGCAAGTAAGCCTTAATAAGATCAAACACTGATTGCTCATAAGACACACTTAAGAGTTCCAGAAGGCAGAGGCCTCCCTGGTGGTGCAAGGGGTTAAGTCTCAGCACTATGAAGCTATTGGTAGCCACTGCAGCATGAGCCGATCACATGGTGCAGCAGACCTCTCATCTCACCTGCTGCTCCCCTACAGCAGTGTTTTTCAGTCAGTCCACTTGTTCTGCTCCCTATTCTGTTTGGTGAATCCTCTCACGCCCTACCCTGCATCTCTGGCCTACACCCCAGCTCTTGTATGCATTAAAAAAAAAAATCTTAAATAAATAAATAAAGAGTTCCAGAAGGCAGCAGGTTGATGTAGTCATGGTATTGGAAGAAAATGGTGAGATTTTTATATTCAGCAGAACTATTCTTCAAAAATGATGGAGGAATTAAGAGATTTCCAGATAAAAATCCTGTTTGCACTTATATGTGGAATATAAGAAATAAAACAAAGGGTCAAACCAAACCAATCCAATATCAAACCTAGAAATCTATCTGTAAAGGGGAAGGTGGAGAGCAAACTGTGAAAGGGATCTGATGAACTATGGAAGAAGACTTTGCGTGCCTTTGTGGTGGGTGTGTTGTGGTAAAATACATCTGAAGAGGTATGATCTTTTACCTCAGAATTACATAGTATTGTAAACCAAAGTTACATCATTAAAAACAAACAACAACAGAAAAGAAAGTAGTTTAGTGGTAGTCACAGGATTACTACACAGTAATCCTTTCTGGGTAGTAAAATGTTCCAGAATTAGATGGTTGCACAGCATTGTGAATAGACTAAAAACTCTTTATGAAGGTGAGTTTTATGGGTGATGGGTGAATTATTAATATGTCTCGGGCCTCCCCTGGTGGCGCAGGCGATTGAGTGCAGCGCTGTGAAGCTGTCTGCAGCCTCTGCAGCGCTGGTTTCGATCACAGCTGGCCGGCAAGGGTCCCACATCGCGCGGCAGACCTCTCCTGTCTCACTCGCTGCTCCCCTCAGTAGTGTATTTCGTCTGTATGCCTGTTCTGTTCCCCACTCTGTCTCTGGTGAATCCTCTCACCCTCCCATGAATCTGGCCTGTACCCCGGTTCTTGTATAAATAAATAAATAAATAAATCTTTAAAAAAATTGTTAACTTAAAAAAAAAGTCTCAATTAAAAAAAGATTTTATAAACCATGAAAAATGTGCTGATGATCACAGGCAAATGGGCTGGTTTAAGATACCCTTATGTTACTTGTCACTGCTTTTATCTGATCTCTACTGCTTGAGGGTCTTTCTATTCATATTCTATTTTGCTCTTTGTTCATGTATCTTGTCCTTTTTAAACTATGACCTGAAATATAAAAAGAATCCAAATAGACATTTGCCTAATAACTAATATTTATTTGAACTTATTGTATGCCTGACACTATTCTAAATCATTTAAAAATATTTCTCTCTTTTTTTAAAGATTTATTTATTTATGCATACAAGAGCTGGGGCACAGGCCAGAGATGCTGGGGTTAAGAGGACTCACCAGAGACAGAGTGGGGAACAGAACAGGCAGATTGACTGAAATACACTGCTGAGTGGAGCAGTGGGCGAGTCAGGAGAGGTCTGCTGCACCATGTGGGTTGCTCCTTGGAGGGCTGGGGATCAAACTTGTGCTGCAGAGGCTTTGGATTGCTTCATAGTGTGGTGCTTAACCCCTTGCACCACCAGGGAGGACCTTAAAATATTTCTTTATTTAATTTTCATACCCACCATATAAAGTATTATTTATATCTCCATTTTGCAATCAAGGGTATAGACTCAAAGGGTTAAATAATTTTGTCTTGATTCACATAGTTCATATTGGAATTTTCAAAAAAAGCTCAAGTAGTCTGTCTCTGGAGTCTACCCTCTTACCCATTCTTTCCTTTACTACCTTTACAATGCTGTGGTCCCACCTTTCATTATTCAAATGTGTTTCCTATTTTGGTGAATTTCCCTCCTTTCTAGTCCCACCTCCTCATGTGAAAGGCAGAATTCATTTTTTTCTGTCTTCTTCACTCTATGATGCAGGCATGGGCCCTGCACTTAGAGAGACCATCGTACATGTGCTAGATTTATATTCTGAAGAGAATGATATGAAGAAACAACACATTCAATCCATTTTCTGGGGAGAGTGGCAGTAAAAGTGTATTACTGGTGA